GCAAACGACAGAGGGTGATCTTTTTGGTGGTCACGCTGACTCTAGCTGCTCCTGGATGACCTTGTTTTTCCATTTCAGTGTTTGGCCACATGCTGTCCCACCAGCTCTGTGAACACCAGTCAAGCTGCTGTGTAGTGTGACTCTTCCCCCTATGGGTTGAGGTCTAGCTTACCTCCGAGGGAAAGTCATCCTCACCCATACATGGGGTGATGCTCAAGCACTGGAGCGATGTGGCTTCAAGCTAGGGAACGCACCAGCTGGCCAGAAAGCAGGACAGCTGATGGCTCACCACACCCTGGCTTGGCCTTATGGCCTCTAGCAGTATGAGAGGAGGGCTGTTTATTTTTTAAATCACCCAGTCTGTGGTACTTTTTCAAGGCAGCCTTAAAAAATAATAATAATACACAATCCCAGCACAGGGGTCAGTTGGTTCCTGGCAATGCTTTTGTTCTGCTTTAACCAGCCTCACTGTGAATATTTAGAGCCCCAGAAGGCAGAACTGGGAAGAGGACAGCATTTCACTTTCAAGCACTTACCCAGCACCTCCATAGAGCTACACCTGCCGCACAGCAAGGCGGGTCAATGCTGCCCCATTAACAGCAATGGCACCCCTATTTAACAGAAGCAGGCGAGCATCCAACTGCTGAGCGGAGAAGTGTCGCCCTGACCACGTCGAGGAAGACAGTTCTCAGGGGAAATAGGCAGGAGAGGCAGGCTTGGCTGAGAAAGTATACAATTGAAGAACTCAGCGGAGGTGACATTTAAATCTGGAGAGTGCTGGGGACAAACAAGGAAGAACCAAGGCAGGTGGGGGTTCAATCGCACACCTCTCAGGAGGGGGGCGTTCCAAGTTCTTGTGTAACTAGATAAAAGAGTATACAGTGACATTAACGGTAACTGAAACAGAGGCATTTCCAGGGATGAAATGGCTGGAACAGAGCATTTAGTTGCTCAAACAGCCCCTACTGGCCAGAGTTAGGGTTCTCGTGCAATAGGGGTATATGCATGTGTTGAGAGCCGCTGTTCTAGCAGCTGCTTTGATATTGAAATCTCAGCGGAAAGACTGGTTTTACCAGGCCTTCACTGAAGTCAGGGAAGAATTTCCAAGTCCATCTCCTTTTGTTTGTGACAGCAGGTGGGATAGCTTGTCAAAAATCACACCTCTTGTTTCACCTCCTTGTGAATTTAACCCATCGTGCTGAGCTGTTTTTACTCTGGCTTAAAAGCAGTCTGAAATAAAGCCAGGCTACTCTCCACTAGAGTCTCTCAGAAAGGTGTTGTGTGTTAGTTTATAAATTTTAACCTTCACTCCCAACTCAAGAACCGTTCGACTCTGCTGGCGGGCTCCGACATGCATGGCATGGGCTTCTCCTTGGAAGCTGTATCTGTGCATGTTATCAAACAAACAACTTCATGCATCACAGGTCTATGAGTTTTCATAGAGTCCCAGGTCACCTTCAGACACTCAGGGCCTAAGCCGATAGCCAGAACTAAGCGCCTCGGTGGTGAGGGTCAGGGCCAGCCACTGTCCGATGGTAGGAGCACCTGTATACAAGAGCCGGAATCCTGTTCTGGGAAGGACTTGCCCTTAACATTCAGGAGTGACATCACCTGGGAGCCTGCCTCCCCTTCCCAGGGCAATGGCACCCACACTTTCCCCCTCAGCCCACCCTTCTCACAGTGCCTGTGAAGGGGGACTTCTTTCTAGGATCCATCTCCTGACTCTGGGGCAGGCCATGCCTTAGGAATCCCAGACAGGCTCTTCAATGTCTGTGGAAAGGATGTCCTATGGGAATTTCGAGAAACACTGCTAGCAAGCCCCATCCAACTTTCCAGCTTCCCCTTCCACAAACTTTTCAGTAGTATGTGCAGCCAAGCCAGGGTGACTTCCGATGTCTGAGTCCTGGAGACAGTGCTCAGGGTAGACTAACTCTGCCTGCCAGGCGTAATGACTCCTCAGATTGGATAGTCTCTGGTTCAGGTGTGCCAAGCTAGGCTGTTTATCAACACTGACCAACTTTTTCTTTTTTTTTTTTTCCCCTCCCCCATGACCAACTTTTTCATTCACAGGTTGGGAAATGTACATCCAGCAGGTCCTAGGGTCATTTGGGGACCTGAGAGACACCAGGTCTGCCTTGGGAAATCCAGAAGGTGCAGGGCTTCCTCCAATAACGCAGTGGAGCAAGTTGTGATCTTCTCTCTATGGTCCTGAGCAAGGCTCTTATGTGATACAGATTAGCCTTGCGCACAGGCCACAGTGACAGACAGAAAGCCTGGCTGTTTCCATCAGCAGGGTTCACAGCCCACAGCATCCTGACACTGAGGCTGACTGGCTTAGCTGTGCTCTTCCAGAGGCCAAACAAAACACTGAAATTCAGGTTCAGGGTGTCAGTCAAGGAGGTAAATCACAGGTTTTGAGTTGCAGCAGGTCTGGCCTTCTCCCCTTGGGCCTTACTATTCCCCTACCTACTTTTCTTCTCCAAGGGTGCAGATGAGGGTGAGGGTCAACTTTGGGAAGTCACCTGCTTCCCAGGTGGCCTCAGACCTGGCTCTTAGGCCTGGATCTTTGTCTTAGGCCTGTCCTGTCCTCAACTGTATGGTCAGGGTCATCCCCACCCACCATACTCCATGGGGACTCAGCACTTGTCCACTGATGACCATCTCAGATTCCATTTTACAAACTCATCAGCTTGGACACAAGCCTTCAGCCTCCCACAAAGTAAGTAGCTGTTCTCTGCTTGCTCTTCTCACTGCCCTCCCCTCCACCTTCCCATGAGCTATAGGGCGTGACTAATTCCCACTCACAATACTGTACTCATGCTCCTGAAACAACACAAGACTTCTGCAAAAGGCTCTATAAGTGGGGTATTTGTGGAGCGAGGAGCTCAAGATAGCTCATCATACTGTTGTGGTCTCAAGCCAGTCACAACATATGGAAACAGGTCTTGACACAGGTGAAGCTGAATCTCATCTACAATCTTGACTGCTAGCAGATGGGCAGGAGGCCTTGTTCACTATAAAAACAGGAGTGTCTTCTACAACATCACAAGGCTGGCCTACAAGAAGCTCCCTTTCTATTCAGACCCAGTACCTAGGGCAACACTGACTTCAAGCACTGCTGTGACTCTCTGGATTGGATTCCGCACAAAGGAAGAAACATTCCCTACCTGTACCCATATTTCAGAGAGTGGGTTACCCTGACCTAGAAGATCCAGTGATACAAAGGGCCAGGCTACTAATTTATGTGCATCTTCACAATATCATACTGTTATTTTGCTTCATTCATTTACTATCCCAGGAGGCTTCAGACATACCACCTTCCTGCTTAGGCTTCCCAATGCTGAAATTAAAATATATACCACCACACTGAGCTGACATTACACATAGTTATATCTTCTCTATTACTGAAATACTTGATGACAAAAAAAGAGAAAGAAATGCAAAATCATAAGCAGAAAAAAAGACCCTTACCAAGTAATTTGTAGGGGTGGAAGAGATAGCTCAGCAGTTAAAAGACCTTGCTGCTCTTACAGAGGACTCAGGTTCAGTTCCCAGCACCCATACAGGATGGCTCCCAACCTCCTGTAACTCTAGTTCCAGGATTCTACAGCCACCTGCATGCATATGGTATACATACAGACAAGCTAGCACACACATATACACATAAATAACCATGTTAAATTATGGTGATGCTTGTCTGAAACCCCACTACTCAGGAGGATGAAGCAGGAATATCAACTTGGGCTGTGGAGTGAGGCTGACACAAAACAAAAGGTTAGGATTGCATTGTCTAGGGTATCTTGCTTTTAGTTATGAGAAAATTTCCATGTTACAATTTTAAAAACTGTCTTTCATTGGCTGCCTTTTCTTCCACTGACTGGATGCTCATATTTGTAATGACCTGTTCTCTGAAGGAGTGTATTCTGGCTGGGATGAGGAATGCCTGGGCAGTTTACCGCCTTACTTAATGTTTTCTTCTTGGAGTCAGTTTCATTTTCTTTGGCAGAAGCCCACTCTGGCAGGATCCATTTAGGGCACAGTTTTCCTTGCTAATAAATTCTCTTCATCTACTTCCCCAACACAAATAGCCTTCATCCATTTGGAGCCTGAATCTCTCTGAAGCTAGCTAGCAACAACCTTCATCCTAGCCCTATAGAACCAAGCCCAGGCTCCTGGCCTCTCACCAACCATCCAGCAGAGTAGGCACCATTGCTGTGGTTTCCCAGACTTAGAGACTGACTAGTTTCCCATTAGGAGAGCCCCAGCCAGGCTGCTGGAAAGGCTGGCACCTCATCATGTTGTCACACATCAAGCAAGATGGGTATTTAGGTGAAGGCCTGGTGACACAGGACAGCATTAAGAGAAGCCAGATTTGAGTGTGCACCCTGCCTCTTTCACACATTAGCTTTGAAATCTAGGCAAATTACTGAGCCTCTGAGCCTGGGGTTTCTTCATATTCATGAAAACAATTCCCCCACTCTAGGGTTTTGGTAGAAACTAACTGAGGTAATGAGTTTCTGACTCAGCTCACACCCCACCCTATGCACTCACCCCCAGGGAGCAATTTTCTGTCCAATTGTTCTGTCATCTCAACTGTCTCCTAGGAGTACCAATGAGCTTGTATTTCCAAGTTTCATCCCCATGGAGAGAATGTTCTTCAATGCCCAATGTGTCATCCTGGCAGCCTACCGATTTTATTGGTTCACTGCTTAGGGCAGATAACACCCAACTAAAAGACATCCTACCGTTAGCTCATCAAGGCCACTGAGCTCATTCCGGGAGAACACAAAACAGCAAAAAGCCCTCACCTTACCTCCATGTGCCTCCTGTGTCACGGGACCGTCATCTGTGTCAGCTTGAGGATGCTCTTAAAACACTTCCTCAGAGCTGCAGCCTGCCTTTCTGTGGCAGGCCCCAGTCTCTCCCAACTCTACTTCATGGTACTGGGCCAAACTCACCCCAGGTAAGATGAAAATGAAGGAGGAAAAACTAGGTAGAAATTATGGTTCATAACATTTATTAATCCGATGTTTTTCAAACTTTGTTATCCATTTGGATCAATAGCAGTTTTTCTATGAGACAGAGTCAAATGTAGCCAAGATGGCTTTAAACTCATGATCCTTATGCATCAGCCTCTCACACTGTGAGATTACAAGTGTGTGCTACCATACAGTTTTTCTGGTAGAGCTGCTTTGCCTTTTTGTGTTGGGGATGGGACCTAAGACCTTGCCATGCTGAGCTATACCCTCAGCAGCCTCACCTGGAAAAAAAATGTAAATTCCTTTATGATAGCTACAATTAAGTTGAAATTTAAGACCAGGCACAGTCTCAAGCTTAAGACCCCGTGTGTGAGGCTCTCTTGTTTGTGGGCCTAGATGAGCATGGTTTGAATAAAGTGTGAACTCAAGGTGACGAACCACAGGTATTCCAGGGTGGTGGCACACAGCCAGGCCAGTGATGGCGGAGGACATTGGTCTGCTCCCAATTAACCCTTAGAACGGGAATATAAGGTTCTTCAAGAGCACAGATATGTCTCAACATGATATATGTTTCTGACAGGAATAGCAGGAACACATGACAGCCACCCCTGGGTGACATCACAGTCTAGACACAGAGCTCGAGCATCCTGAGCTGTTTACTCTCTTTTCCCCACCCTCCAACTAAGTATTAGCCCCTCGCTCAGGCCATGTCTGTAAGAGCATTTTACTAATGACCCACATAAAGTCAGCTCTGTCTGATATACTAGTGGTCTAGGTCCACACCTGCTATGATTTTGCTGTCTTCCAAACAGTGAAGTCATAGCAGCTTGGACACAGGAGGTGACATCTAAGTGAGCACTCCTTTCCTTGATCTGGGAAGAGAAGGAGGGTCCTTGAAGCCCTGGTCACTCCTGCACCAGGAAGTTGATGAGAGCAGTTCTCGGGGAGAGGAAGGCCTTCTTGATGCTTCTCCCCTGCAGCAGCCTGATGCCCAGCTCACTCTGGAGAACAAGTTCATGGACTTTGTCCTGGTCCTGGGCAACTTGTTGGGGCACAGAGATCTTGCCATAGGCCTTGTTGTTGATCTGAGGAGAAAAAGAACAGAGAGGGTGAGGAGAGTCCACAGGGAGGCAGGCTCTGAGGTACTCAGACTCCTGAGCTAAATATTCTCTCTAAACGTGGGCTTCCTTTGGTCCAGGTTTACACAGATACAATGGAGCCAGGTTTGCTGGACAGCTTCAGGAGAATTGCTGTTTCTCAGCCTCCAGTGCGAAGAAAATGAACAATTCATATTCATTTTGTTTACTCTTTTCCTTTTTTTGTGCTTTTCTCTCTCTCTGGATTTAAGCTCCATGAAGATAGGAACACTGTTGTCCCACTGGATTTTTGTTTTTGTTGAGACAAAGTCTTATCATGTGGCCCTGGCTAGCATCAACCTTACAGTGGTCCTCCTGCCTCAGACTCTCAAGTGCTGAGATTACAGAGCAAACCACTGTGCTTTGCTTCATCTGTGTCCCTAGAACCTGCACTATGGCTGGCCTAGAGTCAGGACTGGACATGGTACAGTAGATCACTTCTTTGAGCTTGTTTTCTTAACTAAGAATGGTGTAGCCTCCTGTAAATAAGACAAGGAAATCGCATTTGGCTATAAATGACCTAGTTCCACTCTACCCGCTATCCAGGAGATCAGGTAAAAAAAAAAAAAAACCTATCCTGGTCTCTTCACCTTCTGTCACATAAGCTGCTGACAGGTAGTCCCTAGAAATGTGTCTCCTATTAAACAAATGGAATCTGCATAGAAGGGAACCTTCAGGAATCTAGTTTTTGCATAAAAAGTTTAAGGGGAAAACAAACATCTCTTCTTCCTGGGCCTGGTGGTACAGGTCTGTAATTCCAGATAGCTGGGGGCTGAGGGAAGAAGGTCAAAGTTCAGGGCCAGCCTGGGTTACAGCTCACTCTCAAGGTCAGTTGGGCAATTTACTGAGACCCTGTCTTAAAGTAAATAAGAAGAGGGCTGGGAATGCAACTTAGCAGGACACTACTTGCCTAGAACGCACTGGGCTCTAGGTTCAACCCCAGAACATAAAAACAAAATAAATAATAATAAAAAAATTGAACCTTGAACCGGGCATGGTGGTGCACACCTTTAATCCTACCACTCAGGAGACAGAGGCAGGAAGATCTCTAAGAATTTGAGGCCAGCCTGATCTACAGAGCAAATTCTAGGACAGCCAGGGCACAGAGAAACCTTGTCTCAAAAGACAAAAAAACAAAAAATGAACCTTGAACTTCCCGCCTACATTATTACTCTTATATATTGAAAATGGTACAGTTAACCAAAACAAACAAAGAAAGAAAGAAATAGGGAAAAGAGTTATATATAGTTTTACTAAAATGTTTGACAGAGACATTAAATTTATTTTTACTTTTTTACATATTAGTTATTTATCATTTATACAGTATTGTGCCTACATGCCAGAAGAGGATACCAGATCTCATTATAGATGGTTGTGAGCCACCATGTGGTTGCTGGGAATTGAAATCAGGACCTTTGGAAGAGCAGCCAGTGCTCTTACCCTTTGAGCCGTCTCTCCAGCCCCCAACATTAAATTTTTTAAAAACTTTTATTTCACGTGAGTGGGTCATTTGCTTCATGTATATCTATGTACCACAAGCATGCTTGGTGCCCGTGGAGGTAGAAGAGAGCATCAGAGCCCCTGGAATATCGTTACTGATGGTTGTGAGCCACCATATGGTGCTGGGCACCAAACGCAGGTCGTCTGGACACACATCCAGCGGTCTCAGCCACCCAACCATTCCTCCAGCCCCAAAGAGGCATTCTTTACTGTCTTCTATGTGTCTGCCCCCTAAAGCTACCCAGGTGCTCCTACATGCAGATGAAGACACTGGAGCCATTAAGGCAGATCCAACTGGCATCTCCCCTTTGCTGTCCTTCCAGGCCCTGGGAGTTAGAGCTTACATGCTTCTTGAATACAGTGAAGGTACAGAGAAGGGAGTGCAGGCTTCTGTGTTGTGGGCGTGGTCAAGAGAAAGGGCTGGCTGGGGTCACTGGTAGGAGAGTGATAGTCTGTATAGCACAGTCTGGCCCCATGGCCATGAGTGACACTCACCAGAACAACCATCTGCACCGTATCGGGCTCCTGGAGGGACTCTGAGTGTGCAGTGGGCCAGGCCTGAAGCATCACACCAGCATCCCAGGCATAATGGTCACAGAGCTTGCTTGGCACCAGCGCCAAGCCTGCAAAACCAAGGCACAGAAGGTCAGATCACTCTGAACACACAGAGGGACTCATGAACAGGGTGCAAGGCTCTGCCCTTGGCATAGAGCCTTTGAGGAGGCTAGCGATGCCATGGATGACGTTTCCCATGCAGTTGTGTGGACTGGTCACTCTGAGCAGTGCTAGTGCTTTCTACTTTGTTGGTGTCTATCTTGGGTTCCTGTGCCAACATCAGAGATTATGATAACTTTTAAAACTTTTTCCTATTTGACACTCTTTTGACTGGATGGCTGATCAATGGGTAGAAATGAAGTCTGCTTAGGGCCTGAGGATCAAGTGGTGTACTGGTGCACAAAGAAGAGCTGACCTCTTCCCACAGCTGTAACCCCAGGTTTCAGGCAGCCTTTCTGTGAACAGCATCCGGAGATGTGAGAATGGATGGACATGGTACTCTGAAATGATGGAAAGGCAACACTGCCAATGCTGCCAACGCTGGGGTTACCCCTTTGTTGGAGAAGGAATGCCTACCTGAGGCCTGGCCCCAAGTACAGACGGTCTTCACAGCTTCTCCCACCATGAGTATCTGTGGTCTGAAAATCTTGTCCCCAGCCCTTTTTCACATAGAGTACACTAGAGAGGAGGGTGCTCTCAGCTCCCCTGGGAGCTTGACACTGTCATCCTCCCTCTCATGAACAGACCCTTGGCTTAGGGCGGGCCACAAGAAAGGGGTAAGGCATAAACCCTATATAGTCTTCCGTCCTAGAGTGCTGGGTCTTCTCTTTCCTTTTAGGGCTGGGAATGGAACCCAGTGCCTCAAGCGTGTAAGTATATGCTTCACCACTAGGCTGTACCTCAAGATCCCCTTTTTCTTTTAAAAACAATGTTTTATAGGTTCTCCACAGGGAAGTTATTGCTTTTATACATACATGTATATTATAGCTGTGCTGGTGATGAGCTCAGGGCTTCTCATGTACTAAGCAAGTGCTCTACCACTGAGCTACACTCACAACTCTTATGTAATTTGAAAAGGTATTCAAGTATAGAGTTTTTCCATACTGTGGAATCTGTTCAATAATTTTCTTCTGGTTTCACTGAAAGGTTTCATTTTTTTTCCCTAGTTAATTTTCAAGTTTAGTAGTAATTTATTTTGTTTATAAGAAAATTATCTTCAAAAACACAAAGTAAACTTTCCAAACCCAGTTTGTTGCATAAATCTTCCTTTCCCCATTGATTTGTGGGTTTTCCTTCAAAATATTATTATACTAGGATAGGTTTTGGGCTATTGACATTCCAAGATTGGGTATGCAAGGAGGTAGAACCTTGGGCCAGAATGTGAACCAACACAACTGTTTCCTTTACTTAGTAAAAACATGCAAGGGTACAGCTCATGAGAAAGGTTTCTTAGCACGAACACTGTCTTGCAGCTGACAACATTACAAGCACACATGAAAAGGCACAAGTAGGCATGCGTGTGCGTCCACATACAGGACCAGCCTTTCTGAGCCATGTGTTAGCAATTTCTGGTCCATGCCCACCACAAGCTCCCCTCCCTCTCTGACTGAGACTAACAGCCCTTAGGTAAGCCGGAATGTTGTGGATATAAACATAGTTTGGTTTTAATCCCAGGTGTGGGATGTGGGACTGATTCAGATGGTCCATAGCAGCAAACTATTGGCCTCATGCAGGCTCTGAGAGAAGCTCTTTGCCAGCTGCAGATGGTTTAAATCTGAGGACGCTGGTGAGAAAATAAATGCCAGAGCCCAGAGTGTGTGGAGGAGAGAAAGAACAAAGGCTGCACCTGCTTCCCCCCTGCAGCTCCTGTTGCTGTTGTGAGACAAGAAGTTGGAGATCTCCTGAAAAGAGGATTGGACTGGCTCCAAAGAACCCAATGACCCTAACCAGCAGGAAGCAGCTAAGAGAAATGTGGCCCCTCTCCCACTAACCCTTTGTCTCTCCTACCTAGTATTGGAGTGTTGGGATTGGGGTAGAGTAGGGAGAAAGAGATATAAAAATGTAAATAAAGGAGTTTTAAAAACTTATACCAACACCTGGGTTGTGGACAGGCCATTGAGCAGTGCCAATCATTTTATTCTATTGGCCTCTGCCTTGGCTCCTGTGCTGGTGTCATAGTCATTCACTGTAGCTTTTTAAGTTTTCTACCTGATATCCAGGTGACCCCATATAGCCAGTTACTGGGAAGGAAGTGAAAGCTCCTTAGGGAATGAGTATAAGACCTGAACTCCTCCTGGCCCAGCTGGTCCTGGCCTCAGCTATTGTATTTCTCAATGAGCTTAATGGCCTTTTGGCAAATGCAGAAAATTCTCTGGCTTTTTCCTTCCCTAAAAGTGAGATGGAGGTCACAGAAAACAGACAATCATGTCTTTATTTGTTGAGCTGGTAGTGGTTTGTCCTGTGACCCAGATGTGTTGGGAAGGCTTCCAAAACTTCTGTATAGAAGTCATACGGATGCCTAAGACATGAAAGGACCTTGGATGAAAATGTTCTGAACAGAAGCTGCTATAAATTCCACTGAAAAAAAACAAGGAAGCCCAGATTTCCTGCAGGAATCAGGATGCTTATTTATAGGTATGGGTCTAGCCAGGCTCTCCCTGGATGGTGGGTGTGGCTTTGCTGCAAGGGTGGAGCTTAGTGCCCTGCGCATGTGCAAGTTCTTGTCACTTTGCTCTTTTAAGTGAAAATAACCAACATGTTCATGGCAAATGCAAAGACAGAGCCAAGGCGATAGGTCAGATGGGGTTAGTCTGAATGCAGGAGATAAGTGACAAAGTTCTGGCATTCAGGGCAAACTGCACCCCTTTCATACCCACCTCCGGTGAGCCGACCCTCCTGCAGAAGCTAAAAGACAAGCCTCCCTACTCCCACGCTGGGCCAGGCTGCCGTGGTGGCCCACAGTGAATTCTGGGGTTGGAAGTGGTGGTCACAGTTTCTGAGGATGGCAGTCCTCTTCTGGTGGCATTTTGGGTCTGTGTCTGCCCTCATCTCCCCATCCTTGTTTGTGTTAGCTGATCCCACTGAGTAGGGCTGGGTCTGTGCTGACACTGCTTATAGCAGCTCTGACAATTCCAAGAAAATGAACAGGAAGCAAGGCCATTTCACACTGACCTTTCCCAGAGAAATAAATTTGCTCAAATGCTTTTGAAAGAACAACATCCACATTGCATGAATATACGGTCAGAAGCTGGAGTGTGGCACAGTGGCAGAGCATGGGCTTCCCATGCACAAAGCTGGACTCAATTTCTAACACCAGAAACTAACAACAAACACACAAAAAACAAACAAAACCCGTCAGTGTAGCCAGCATTAGGTACTTTGTAGGTTCTTCTTTCTTCCACTTTTCTCCACCCCTTTTCTTCCACCCTTTCAACCCGCTAACTAGATAAGAGAGAAAAAAGGATAAAGAGGAAAAAAAAAGTCCCTGAATAAAGTCAGGGGTCAGAAAGGAAGCAATGTTATCGTTAGACCACTTCCTGCCGATTAGGGGTGTTGGGCTCCTTGGGGAAAGTTTGATCTTTGCCGTCAGGATATCTACTTTCTTCTTCTTAACAAATCGTGATCAACAGCAAGCAAACAGCACGCAACCAGCAACTGCCACCACCACCTCTCAGGGCCCTAGAATTTGTATACCCTTGAAAAAGTCTCCAGAATTCCAAAATTCACACAATTGCAGAAACTATCTGCAGCTCAAAAAATCATGCCCCTGCTAGAGCATGAGGGAAATCATAGTCAGCTGCTGTGAAGCAGCCCTATATCCCCATACCTGGGATTAAAATATATTTTTATAATATTTTTGTGGTTTTAAAGAAATCAAAATTCCAGAATTCTCATTACACACCAGAGGACCTGGTGGGATGGAGATCCGGTGTTTGCATGGCATTTGGAAGTAGCTTTGGATACCAAAACAGATAAAATCTGAGTTCAGCTCATGAGTTCAAAATGAAGACAGGTTAGGTAAAAGCGCCGGTCCAGCAAGGTTGTTTGTTGATCTGAGTTTGGATGCCAGAAACCATGTAAAAGTTGGACATAGCAGGCTGAGCATCTGTGGTCCAGGAGTGCTGCTATGTGGGCGACAGAAATAGCTCTAGAAGCTCTTGGGCCAGCTAGCCTGGCTTATACATCGTTAATACGCTGCCTCAAAATAAGGTAGAAAGGTGAGAACTGACACCCTAAGGTTGTCCTCTGACCTCTACACACATGCACAGCACATACACGCCTGCACCCACACCCACAGCAGAGCATGCATGCACCTACACACATACTCACTGCAGTGAGCAGCTGATCCCTTCAGGTAGGAAGAGCACTCTGACAGACGTTTGTTGCTGAGCTACAAATAATCAAGGAGAGGCTTGGGCAAATGTTATTTAGTAACTAGTTAGACAAGGACCCTCCTACATACCTGCCCAGAGTTCTGAGGTTATATGAGGGGCCAGGGGGGCGGCCATCACCAGCAGGGCACAGAGAGCATCCTCAAACTCCCGGCTGTGAAGAACTACTCTCTGAGGAGCTTGCTAAGGAAGAGGAAGAAACATTTAAGACAAAATAAGCAGAGGTAAGACAGGCCACAGATGAAGCAGAGTCCAGAAGCTCAGTAGGTGGAGAAATACTCTTCATGACCTCTTTGCTCAGGTCAGAAGATTTCCCTCACAGAGCCACATACATACTCAATGCTCACAACTGCCCTTCAAGGGCAGGATCTGCACCTCATCTGACAGGTAAAGAAGCTAAGCCTCAACAAGGGAGGAAAATCTGCTCTGGGCACAAGGTCACACTTGCAAGCTCTCTGCAGAGAATGTTTCCTAAGGTTTTCCACTGTGCAATCCCAGGGTGGGTCCTCTCTATCCACCAATTATTGACAAATTCTTCCCTTGTCAAGAAAAACTGGAGTCACATGCAGCCAAAAGATGATAGCTTGTTGTCAGTGGGAATAACTCTGCTCTGTCTCGGTGAAGTGAATACAAACACTATCCACCAAGGAAGCATCCTGATAGGTTCAGGAGATAAAGGTTAGAACGGAGAGGCCTATGCCTGGCCCTGGCTTTACCACGACTCAGTCAGGCGTGATGCTAACCTTCAGGCCTCCATGTCCTCTTACAAGAGACTGGAGATAAAAACAGAGGCTTGAAGCTAGGAGGATGACCATAAGTCGAAGGTCAGCCTGGGCTGCACAGTAAGACCCTGTCTCAGAAAAAGCAAATGACTTTGCTCAGATAACCTTTAAAGCCTTCAAGTAGTGCGACAGGGTTGTGACCATGGAGGAAATATTCCCAACACTTTCACCCTCTCTCCTCAGCTGCTGAGAGGCCCAGCTACTTACCAAGAGGGTGTTGCTAAGTCTTATCAGCTTGGTGACCACAGAGTGCAGGGCAAAGTCTTCTGTGAAATGTCTAGTCACCTGTTGGTAAAAATTGATATTTTTTTTACTCATTTTCTTCAAAAATTCCCTTTAGCTTTCTAGAAGAAAAGGGAATGACAATAAACAAACAAAAAGCCAAAACAAAAAACAAAGTTAACAGACTATAACAAAAGATACTTATAAATATATTTACTCCGTTGAATAATGACTAGATTTCATGAACACAGGGCTTTTAAATTTAAAGTCAGTGCTGATTCCATTATTTAAGACTGCTTCTCTTTCCATATCACTGAGACAGTGTTGTTTTCCATAACAGACGCTTAATAAAACAATGCTAGTAGGGCATGGTGGTGCACATCTTTAATCCTAGCACTTGGGAGGCGGAAGCAGGAGGATCTCTGTGGGTTCTAGGCTAGCCTGGTCTACAAAGCAAGTCTAGGACAGTCAGAGCTTCACAGAAAAACCCTGTCTCAAAAAAACAAACCAAACCAACCCCCCCCAAAAAAAACCCCCAAAACACAACAACAAAAACAAAAAGACAGAGAAAGAAAAACAAACAAACAAACAATGCTATATGCTTGAGTAGGAGGCAGGAGCTGCTGATAAGAACATAAAAACAATAGTGGATAAAGACATGAGAGACATGTGATGCCAACGAGTAAAAGAACTCAGTTTGCATGATTGAGTCCTGGGCTTAATCCCCATCACTACAGTAGAAGTAAGAAAGAAGGAAGGAAGGAAGGAAGGAAGGAAGGAAGGAAGGAAGGAAGGAA